TTTGATACCATAGAATTTTCATAATCCTTGTCACCAATGTCAATATCAAACTAATACAAGCCTAAAAAGAGACAAAAAAAAAAAAAAAACTTCAAGCTCACTGAAGATAAATAAACAGTCAGTGATGAAATAAGGATAAGAAACTAATTGCAAGCAATAGGACAAAAAACTACAATAAATACGAAACGCTGCATACATTGTGTAAATTAATTAGTCTTCACTGTTATATCTATCTATCTACAGATAGATATAATTAACAGTAACACATGTATTATGTATAGATTCTATACATACACACACACACACATATATATATATATATATATAAATTATCATTATTATTATTATTATTTTTTTTTTATTATTAAATCTACAAAAGTGATTTAGTCAAGAGCAGTGAGAGATTTTCTCTCACTGTTGTTTGATTAATATGAATGGCAGACAGGACAAATATTGGACAGCTTCCCCTTTAAGACCAAAGTCCAGATCCAATATACTGTTACATATGCGTTTTCTTTTTCAGCTGTTTACTCTCTCTTAAGACCTAAATCACTGTGTTTATGAGGATACTTGCAAACACTGGGATTCTGACGCATATAAGTGTATTCATGTAATCGTTAAAAGCCAATAAAGCGGCAAAAAATGTGCGCTCTTCTCACACAGAAACAGAGACGGCGCACGCATATAGCTCTGTTGTTTGTGTTTCACCGGCTTAAAATCGGTTGTTTTGCGACACCACGAAATAAACGATAGGGCAATATGAAACGATAGACTTTTTATTTCAGCCATCCGATATATATCGTCATATCGCACAGCCCTATGCTGCACAGAGAACGGGTTTTTCAAAGAGCGCGCTGATCTGTTTAGTGAGAGCACAGAATGGCTACTCAGTCGGTACCACTTTCTTTTCCATGACTTTGGTTAGGACGTATACATTCACGTGATAATAAAGGGAGGTGTTGTCACCATATATAGTTCATTGGAGGTTTCTGAATGCAAATTACCATGAACATGTACGAGCATGGTGCTTAAAAACATGTGAGATTTATCAACAATGATTACTTACTGGTGTGCGTAAGAACTGCGTGCACACGTTTGATAAATATGGATTTGTTTGTACTTACACACATTCTAAATTTCATTTGTAGGACAAAATATGGAACCTTTTCTATGCACTCTTGATAAATGAGTCTTACCTCAAGTCTTTGCACGATCTCTCGAATGTCTTCTCCACAGTTGTCATGCGCGGAAAACATCACGCACTCCCCTCGTTCGTAGAAGATCTTGATGCTCATGACGCCAGACGACCAGCCGATGACGTCCCGACAGGAGCAGTTAAAAATCACGTTCTTGGACGCCTCCTCGATCAGCACGATGAACTCGTTGGAAATCCCCAGCAGGCACTCCAAGTCTGCAGATTGGCCGAAATCCCGTGCCACCACGCTCCATGTGACGGCGCCCACGCTCTGGAGATGGGCGTCCTTCCGCGGCTTCACCCGCTCCTTCTTCTTGGCCCCCAGCGTGATGAAGCTGAACTTCACCGCCGTGTCCACCGTCGTCGTGCTCACAAAGTTCTCCGCGAGGTCCTTGAGGTACTCCTGCCGCGTGCGGGTCGCCATGGCACGGAACTTCTCCGATTTGTGCGCCGCGTTTTCCCCGTTGATCACCTTGGCCAGCAGGAAGTCCCTGAAGACGGCCGACTTGGGAAAGGTCACTCCTTTAGGAATGGGAGGGCCGAACGGAGGCACGTCTTTGGATCTGGATACTGCAACACTGCGAAGACGACAACGAGAGAGATTGTCTGGTGTAACTAATGCAATGCAATATGAGATGCACTTCGCAGATCTGAAAACACTTAGGCCCAATCCCATTTCTACCCGTTATCCCTACCCCTCGTTTCATGCGTTCACGTGAAGGGGTAGGGGTGTCTCGATTCTCTTTTGGTTGGAGGCGTAGGGGTAAGGGGAGGGGGCCAGATAGCCCTTCAAACGAAAATTTTTCGGGACCACACTTCAAACCCCTTGTTTTGAATTATCAGCATAAACCGGTGTCCTGACATTTTATCCTACCCGTCAGATTGTCCTACCAGGGTTTATTGCGCATGCGCACATCAATATTGCGTCCTTTTTCTCACGCTGAATAACAATATTTAATGCATCTGCATTACTGTAAGGGTTGGTTTAGGGTTGGGGTAGGTGTAGACTTTAATAAAACACAATCTAATGGGTAGGAAAAAAATTATTTATTGTTGGTTTCCTGTAATTTCAACATTTACTATTACTAATAGGCTATATTTTTACATTTTAAAGTTTCTTTTTTTAACATTAGTAAACTATGAAATAACTTTAATGATCAATATAATAATTCATATTAATATGTTTATTAATTTACAAAGTATGTTTCAGTACTGCTACTGCTTTTTTAAAAATAGTAAAGCTCTGTTTTAGTTTTCGTTTACCATTTTAAAAACTATCGGTTGATTAATCGGTATTGGCCAGTGTGGTCCAACCTAGCTATCGGTATCGGTAAAATCCACTATCGGTCGACCTCTAGCTGTATCCCTTCTAGCCACAACAGCGAATATAACACAATTACTGTATTTGCATTACTGTAAGGGTAGGTTTAGGGTTGTGGTGTAGACGTTAAAAAAACATAATTTTACAGGTAGCATTTTTCGTTGTCGAATTGTACTACCCACTGTTTTAATGGGAGGTAGCAAAATTTGACAGGGTAGCACAAATCGACAGAACACTGGCTACAGCGGCAACATGGCTGCACGAGCGAACAAAAAGACACATAAATGTAAGCATTTTTGGCATTAATAAAGATTTTAATGAAAAGTAACCATTTGTTTTATGTTAAATTCAATCGTGCGTTCATATTTACGTTCATGCTATTCAAATATGTTTGCAAAAAAATCGCTAAAGTTTGCTAACGTTAAATCATTAGTGATTGCACGATAGTGCCACAACATATTTTAATGTCTGATCATGACGATAACCACCGTAGACATTGAGGGGGGCTAGTCCCCCCAATAATTAGAAATCGCTAAACCTTTTTCTCAAATATTGCCAATTCGAGAGAGAGAGTGAGAGAGAGAGAGAGGGAGAGATGAAAGTTGCGTGTACACGTGTCTGTGCGTCTCTCTGTACAATGAGTGAGTTTACTTCAAAAACAGCAATTTTATCATCTCGTTGCTGGAAAATATAATGTAGAGATTCACTATTTAAACTGTTATTAATAAAAGTCACGGGGCAGCGTTGACAAGTTTCTTTGCTCCTGGATGTGGAGCTGCGCGACCTCTGATCTATGTGTGTGTGTCAGTAAGCAGCGCATTTATATAGAACGGTAAGGCTCTAATGCACACCAGTATAGGTGTTTGTTAGTGGTCGACCGATATGGGTTTTTTGACAGCCGATGACGATATCTTGGAAAGCAGGGTGGCCGATGGCCGATATAATTTTATTTATTTTAATTAATATTTAAGAAATTTGAAATCATTTGGAAATGGATTAAAAATAATTGTGTAAAATAAACATAAACATAGTTTAGAAGACAAAGCATTTTTCACAAATAAATATTTAATAAAAATCTAATTGAATAGGAAGTAAACACTGTAACCAACAGGGCACTCAGTATTCTGGGAAGTTTGTGTGCATTGGGAATTATATTTTTTCAAATAAAGCCAAGGTAACACTCAGTTTACATACAGCACACAGTGAAAATGACATCAATATGG